AAGAAATTATTATACTAAAAAATTATTTAAAAAAGTTATAAAAAAGTTATGTCAAATGAGCATAAGTTAGCTCATTCAAAAGACTTTTTTAACATGACAATTTTCACCAAAAATCTGAGCTAGCTAGTTAGGCAACTTTGATCCAGCTAATATGCACCTGAGGTTCACGACATCGCCGCAGGTGGCTCCACTACTCTTATTTCTAATTATTTTTTTATTTATTATTATTAAGACTACACTACCTTTTTATATTTTATGTTTTTTGCTTTAATTAGTTATATAGTAAAATCAGTAGTGGAGGCAATATATATAATTACCAAATGATGTGGGTTGGACCGTTGGAAGAAGATGATGCTTGAAGGATTTAATTCCAATTAAAGAATAAAGAAAGATAAATACAAGCTCCATTCCTCTTAAATATATATATATATATATATAATCAAGTAGAAAACTAGAAAAATTTGGAAGATTCTAGAAAACATGTAACAAATTAAATTAGATAATCCTAGGAACATTTTTAAGCTAAAATGCTCCGCATCACCAAAAACATGTCAGAAGATATCACTTTTGACAAAGAAATTAATCTTCTTACTGTTGCATTGCTATTTTCTCTCCATCGATTTGGTATCAGAGCTAACATTCTAGCGTAATTGGCGGAAGTAAACAAGCAGGTTGTCTAAGATGATGATATCAGTTTGGAAGCTTTGTGGCTAGCTCAAAGCAGCATCTCCAAGCTGCTCGACGAACTCACCACCGCATTCTTTGATTCACGATTGAAATGTGCAATGATACTAGACAAATAAATGCAGCTTCCAACCCAAGAAGAAGAATTCCATAGTTCTATGAAAGACCTAAGCACCACAGGGCACACCATCAACGGCAAGATGGTTTCTATGTCAAATTTGGATATTTCGGCATTTGATGGGCGGCTTCACCTAAAGGACTTCTTGGATTGGGAAAGAGCGGTTGAAACTTTCTTTGAGTATATGAAAATTGCTCCTGAAAGGCAGGTTCAATATGTTGTGTGTCATTTGAAGGGGGGAGCCAGTACTTTGTCGGACCACCTCCTGACGTCCTAAGCTCCGCCAGACCATTGCTTGACATCCTAAGCTTTTTCGGATCACCGCTTGACGCCCCTGAGGTACGCCGGACCACTACCTGACGTCATAAGCTCCGCCGGACCACCGCTTGACGTCATAAGCTCCATCGGACCACCACCTAACGTCTTGAGCTCCGCCGGACCACCACCTGACGTCTTAAGCTCAGCCGGACCACCACCTAACGTCCTAAGCTCCGCCAAACCACTACTTGACGTCCTCAGCTCTACCGGACCACTATCTGCCGTCCTCAGCCGGACCACCACCTAACGTCCTAAGCTCCGCCAAACCACTACTTGACGTCCTCAGCTCTACCGGACCACTATCTGACGTCCTAAGCTCCGCCAGACCACCAATTGATGCCCTGAGCTCTACCGGAATACCACCTAACATACTAAGCTTTGTTGGACTACCACCTAACGCCCAAAGTTCTTTTGAACCACCTACGGTGTAATAACCCATTTTTTGACTTTGCTAAATTTTTTGGAGTCATTATAATTTCAAATCATAATCCGTCTTCGCCCTTGTATTTTGATTGTAGTATTTTACTTACACAATTTTTTTTGTAATTTTTTGACACCAGCGAAAATTCTTAAGAAATTTGTACATATCGGTATAAGTGATGATTTTGGGACCATCAAGTGTCTGTTTTACAAACTAATTTATTGATATTTTTTAAATAATATAATTTATTTTATGGATATTTTTCTGTAATTTTTAAGTCCAAAAATAATTTATTTGAATTTTTAGACTAAAGAAATTAATTATATAATATTAAATTATTATTTTAATAAAATATCCTATGTCATTAATGTAATAAAAGCTTTTTAAAACCATTTTCCTATGGATTTCGTCAAACAAAGAAGTTTTGGAGAGAAATGTGAGAGAGAAATGAAAGTTTTGGATTTAGAGGTTGCAATAAGATTTTCGTCAGTCGGGCCTGTTGGGATAATTGCTCGTCTCACTGTAAGGAATCCATATCCTATTTCTGATTTCAAAGATTTTGTATTTTTAGTATTTTTCCGGTCAAATTTGTGTTTTCGTTATCAAAAAACGTGAATAACTTTGTATTGACAAAACTTTCATCGCGTAACTTTTTGTATGTTATAGATAATATGATTATGAGCATTTTGAATATTTATTTGAGATTTTTATCGGGTGATTTTGAAAATACAATAATTTTTGTATACTCTGAAATTTATTTTGTCCTCTAAAAATAGTAGTGTAGTACAATAAAAGCCTTAAAACATCATTTTACATAATCCCTAATTATTTTATAATTTTTTAAAAATATGCATTTTTGCCTAATATTATTCTTTGTTGTATACTATTATGACATTTTGCATATTCTTAATTAAGCTTAATTATGCATTATTTGTTGCAATGTATTGCAAATGGATGTGGACATGTGCTTGAGTAATAGCTGGTCGATATTATTATTATATTATGGTGATAATAATATGCATGTGTGAAACAAATAAGTAAAGAATGCATTTAAAATGGATGTGGACATGTGCTGGAGTAATAGCTGGTCGCTATTATTATTATATTATGGTGATAATACTATTCATGTATGAAACAAATAAGTAAAGACTAGTAGACCCGTTGGTTGGAGACTGATTGACATAACAGGATGGTGGGCTGACGAGCTTTCCTTTAAATACTATGATTTGGTGTTATCATCTACTAATTCATGTGATACACTAATTGAGAGTTATAAGGAGATTATTATTATGTCGGCGGCAAAGAGTGACGACTTTGTTTATTGAGCTAAAAGTTTACTAACACTAATACTAACATTGAAAAACATCATGATAGCTAGAACTTCTACTTATTTAGTGTAACTATTGAAATGAATGTTTTGAGACATTGTTCTTATTATTGTACGAATTTATTATTACTGCACATATTTATTATTATTAAATTATTCTACTACTTCTACCACTAAATTATTACTGATACTATGTGATACTACTAATTCACTGTACTGATAGTAAGCATGTGATATATTGAGCACGTGATATAGAATAATTGAATAATATGGATACACTCCTATACGATTTTACTATATTGACATGATTTATATAATCTTTACTAAGTTTAGAATTGATGTTTTATCCGATTTCTTTAATAATTGGCATTATGGATATGATGATCGTTTTATAGATTTGACACTCATTCTGGCTTACTGCTCTTTACTAGCTTTCTTAATATTGTGTTTTACTATTTATATATTATAATACTACTGCATATGAATTTTATTATTTCTGCACTAACTCAATGATCATATGAATGTAACTATTATGATTTGACTGTCGTCAAATATATTGCTCATTTACTGTGCTTTGAATTTAGTTATAGGTTTTGGTGACTTGATGGGCTTTTTAAGGTTATTATATGTGGTTAAATGATTACATGTCAGGGCATAGGAGCAGAAGTATGAGGCTGGTTAGGATTCTTCAGGTTCTATTTCTTTTTGTTATAGTCCTGAGTAGTATATATGATTTTTGGGAATTAATACAGATGTGTATATTAATGTTTTGAATTATAAATAGAATTTGTTTTGATAGATGATATTAGATAGCTCTGGTTGTTATTTATTTAAAGGATAAATGAATAAATCTTCCAATTTAGATTCTAGGGCATCACATACGGACACCAAGGTTCTACTAACTGACACATGAACTTCCAAATGACAATGAAATTCTGCCAGATCACCGGGTGACCCCAAAGTTCCACCATACCATCAAGTGACGTAGAACTTTCATGTATCCCTGACTTCAACCATATCATTGATATTTGTGATCTGATTGCTCTCGGGGGCGAGTCAACCCATTATAACCTACTCAAATTCTAGTGGAATCAATATCAACTGGGCTAGGCCCCGTGATTTTTTCCCTTTCCAGGGTTTTCCATGTAAAAATCTTGTGTTATCTGTGTGTAAATTATATATCTATGCAATGCTAAGACGTAGATCATAACTCTATTGCCGCGTATATTCTAGCCCGCAATAAATCAATAATAGATGTACCTTTTTATTCATATTATTTTTTTCATAGAGTGGTAATTTTTTGCTCAATAATAATCATCATGACAAGAAGATAGAGAAGAAGATAAAACAAACTAAGAAAAAAAAAAGGTTGATAATGGCCTCTCGGAAGAACTAAGATGGGGCCTAAACTAATACACATCAGGCTCGCATGCCATCCCTCAATGACATAGACATAGACAATGGCTCAATATTCTCACCCGTACAAAGTTGAACGATATGTAATTTTTGCAGCAAATAAATTTTATAGAAATATCTCTACAATTAGCTCAAGCAGGCTTAACTTAAGCTCTATCAGTAAATTAATCTCTAATATTTTAATTATAACTACTAAATCAACATCTTTAAATCTATGAGTCTGTCCTATTTTGTTTTCTTTTCTTTTGAAACAGTGAGCATCAAAGTGCAATAGTTAAAAAGATGTTTAAATTTGTGCTCTTGACTTCCAAGGCTGACAATTAATGGACAAAACATCTATCCACTCGGCTTAAGTGTTCTAAACTACTGTTAGGCTTTTGATGTGCTCTATTCTTTGACTTTAACTAAGCATGCAAGCACAGAAAGCACTTTCAAACGCGCTTAGCCTCCCACTAATCTAACTCTTTTTGTGGTATTAGAAAACATTAAATAAAACCTTGTCTTTACAAAAGACAAATTGTTATCTTTGTAGCACCAATGATGAGATTATGTTGTGATTTCACATATTCCTAATGAAAGTGAAAGATAGGGAGAGAGATTTATGCCCCCCAAAAAAAAGAAAGAAAAAGTTGAAGAATCCAAGAGTAGATAATGTTATCATGGATTCTTTTAAGCTTTCAAGATTGCAAGTGACGGGTTCAAGTGCTTGGAATAATTGCAGTGAACCTTATCTCTTACTCCTGAAACTTGAAGACCCCACAAAACCGATTCAGACCGTTGGATGCTTGCCACTAGTTGTCGTTTTGGAGGGGAGGGATGGTAACAAAGGAGGGGTAAGGGTTCAGTTACATGTGGCTTGAAGCCTCTCTCATCTCTCTACTGCAGCCTACCCTACGATTATTAGCTGTCTATGGTGGGTAGCAAGTGAGATTTCTGCTCCTCATCTATTTTTGGAGTCTGCAAATCGGGAAAGACGATATAAGTTTGTGTTATTTTACTATGCATGAAGGTTCCTTCAATTTTTGAGTGAGATCATTTTGGAGGAATTGAAGAAGATAAGAATGCATCTTTATTGATCTTTTTTACCTTCGTAAGAACTGAGAACAAAGAGATCAGCTCAGGCACATCCCGTGCATGACTACTTTTGGATTCAGATCATCTGCTTCAGTCTTTTTATGGAATCCAATTTCCAAGATTTGGTCAGTCAGATCATGCCTATTTCAGAAGTTCATCACACATCAAAAAAGGGAAAGTCTGAATCCGCCCATTCAATGAAGATGCCAAATTACTCTTCTGATCTATCTTCCTTCATGTAAGTCAGCTACTCCTGCTTATAATTTTTTTCCCAAGATAAGATTTTTTTCCTGCAACCTTCTTACTTTTGTTCATGGAAGGCCTGAACTTGAACTAGTCGAGCTGTTGTGGGAGAATGGTCAAATAGTGATGCAGGGACAATCTAATAGAACAAAGAAGAGTACCGTTGGAACCGAGTTTGCCTTCAATGGAAGAGTTGAGGATAAATTTGGGCAGAATGGAGCAATAGATTCTGTGGCACATGACTTACCTTCTACAGTCCCTTCTTCAATGAATGATCAAGAAGATGATGCAGCTCCATGGTTAAATTACGCAATAGATGATTCTATTCAAAATGACTACTGCTCAGAGTTTTTCTCTGAGCTTACTAGTGTTCATATGACATCTTTGTCAGATACAAATAGCAATCTTTACACATCTAATAAAAGTACCGGCTGTAGCCAAGCAACCAAAGATTCACATATTTTTAGGTCCTCTCCAGGTGCTTCAGACTCAAGTAGAAGTAAGTTTAACAATTTGTTGAATATGCCACACCAGTGCCACAATTTATCTGAGAATGCAAAGCCAAGAGTGTTGGAAGTGGGAATTAGTAGTGGCCATTTTGGTGATCTCAATAGCACAAAGTTTCAGAAAGAACATGTAGGTGTTCAGAAGCCTTTTCATCAAAGCAACAGTGCAGGTTTAATGAACTTTTCACATTTCTCAAGGCCTGCTGCTCTTGCTAAAGCCAATCTTCACAGTATTGACAGGTTGAAGAGTCATGATAAATCATGTACTGCTGCAAGCAATTATCCTGTTGAGTCGACAGTAGTAGAGTCCAGAGATGGCTTGAAGAGTCTTAATCAGCCAAAGGTTGATTCAGGTTCATATGGAAAGACCGGGGTTGACGATGCAGAACATGTTCAAAGTAGCACTGTGGTTAACAGAGTCAGCACTTCACCTAATTGCCAAGCGTCAAGCTTTGCAGCAAGCATGGCTGCTGAAAGAACTGAAGCTGATAAGGGAACTGAAGCAGTTGTTGCTTCTTCTTCAGTTTGTTCAGGCTACGATGCTGCAGCAGCTTCAAATGATTTAAAGCACAAATCAAGAAAAAGAGCAAGGGAAGTAGAAGAATCAGGAGAAGAGAGTGAAGTGAGTAATGAACATAAAATATACTTATGATTGCATTATCCTTTTACAATTCTTCCATTTCTTTCATCTGATTAGTTTTCTTTCATTTAGGATCTTGAGGAAGAGTTATTTACGGTGAAGAAACCTTCTTCAGGCCAAGCTAAAAGTGGAAAGAGAAGCCGTGCTGCTGAAGTTCATAACTTATCTGAAAGAGTAAGTAGCAGATGGCTTCATTCTACCTTGATTCATTATTTGCTAACTTGTTCTAATCTAAACAGCGGCGAAGAGACCGGATCAATGAGAAAATGAAAGCTCTGCAAGAACTCATTCCCAATTGCAACAAAGTAACACCTTCTCTATTTATCTCAAGCTCTGAATTTCAATGAAGTACCTAAAATTGAATGGCTGACATGAAAATGCATTATATAAAGGTTGACAAAGCTTCCATGCTTGATGAGGCCATTGAGTATCTTAAAACACTTCAGCTGCAAGTGCAGGTAGAAGAGATTTTTTCCAAATTTTCTATCTGATTCAGACAAACAGAAACCTTGGTTTTTCGTGCAGATGATGTCTATGGGAAATGGGCTATTCATGCATCCTATGATGTTACCAGCAGGGATGAATTTTCAGCATTTGAGAGCTCCATCAATTTCTCATTTCTCACCACTTGGTTTGGGAATGGGGATGGGTTTGGGGTTTGGAATGGGAATGATTGACCTCAACGGCTCTCCAGGTCTCATTCCAGTTCCTCCATTAATGCATGGCGCCCGATTCCCTTGTCCTTTGGTTCCAGGTCTGGCAGGTTTTCATGGAATGCCACCTTCTTCCAGTATTCATTCACTTGGAGTCCCAGGACAAAGGCCCCCTTTATCAGTTCCTCATGCTCCCTTGTTCAATTCTCAGGCAGGCCTTTTTCCCCAGAATCCATTGAAAGTTTCAGAAAAAGATCCCTCTAGCTCAAACAATCAACAGCAACAATGCATAAACTCGGAAGCAGTAGAAAATGCAAGGACTAAAGAGTCAAAAGGAGAAGCTTCACAGGTTTTACTTGATCATACATGATCCTTCTTGTTCTCAGAACTTCTCCATGTTTCCTTAATTTTGAGCTGACCACAATATTATTAAAACACATTAGAGCATTGATGTTGCAAATCTATGATTTAAATCTTTGAAAACTGTTTGGCATGATAGATGTTAAATCTGATTGTATCCTAACAGTTTTTTTGTTAATATTTTTAATATAGCATTGAAATGAAGCAGAAGAAGTGGTATAGTGAGGAAAGATGTTGCAAATCTATTAAATCCTACTTTTTTCAAGATTTAGGCTCATTCGGGACACCAAACTGCTTTCTTATTGCTTCCTAAAGCAGCCTTCTAGTACAAAAATTTTAATTAATTTTTGAACTAAAAAAATACTTTAAGAAGCAGTAAGAAAGCCTGTCCCAAACGAAGCCTTAGCCTGAAATGGGAATAAAACGGATTTAAGAAAGTAGTAATATTTAAGTGATTCAAAAATTCTGTTTGACAAGATTTAGCCTAAATCCTGGTCAAATATTATTTAAGGCTTCGTTTGGGATGACTTTCTTATAAACAGCTTTTTAATAAAAAAATTAAAATATTTATACTAAAAGCTGCATTAAGAAGCAATAAGAAAGCAGCTCCAAACAAAGCCTAAATCTTGCAACAAAAGAGCCCTTCAATTCAATCTCCCATCAAAAACTTTTGAAAGCATGTTGGCTTTTCATAAAGTAGCTTTATGAATCTGCTGTCATCTTACACCTCCATGCATTTCTTTCAGGCTGTCTGTCCACTGATGCAAAAGGAAAGTAAAGAATTGCATGTTAATCCTGTTGTCAATAGCAATAAAACTACATAAACCAGTGAGTAGAACGTTTCTTATGTAGTGATCATATAAATGAAAGATTTTCCTTTATAGCTCATATATTTTGTTGTTTCATAGCAGGAACTACTCCATTGGCAAGAAAATTGTGGTTGACAGAAGTCATCAACATTACATAAGATGCAGATCACTTCAGCAGAACCTTAAAAACCAAGAATTTTGGAAATGATCATGTTTTGTTCTCTTTTTTGTTTTATTTTTCCCCTTTTCCTCCCTCTTTTTTTGTTCTTATCTTCTTTTGCTAGATTTGGAGAATATGTTTTAATTATGAATCCTTCGAGGGATGAAATTTTTACTGTTCTATATGGATAGGTGCACCAACCAAGCATTTCATTATCTTCCTGTAGCAAAGTTCGGATGTAATCGTAGTTGTTTTTTATTTTTTTCTCTAAGGGTCAATTCCAGGCGGCTTTTTCTTGTGAGATGGCTGTTATATTTCTGTTTGGCAACAACTTTATCAATGCTTTCTAAGAACTTTTATGATGAGTAGTAGCTTTTTCCAATCAGATTTGCTAAAATGCATGTTTTCTTTTACAAATAATTGCAGCAGCCACAAAACAAAAAATAGCAGTGGAAGTTTGTTCATGAAATGACCTTAATGAGCTGTTAAAGCAAGGATGAGGACAAAAATGGTGCAGAAATTTGCAGAAGTTAGCTTTGCTGAGCTATTTTTGGGTGAAATTGTTAAACTTAGCTTCTCCCAATCATTTCAGGAAGTTTTATTGATTTGATTGACTTTTCATTACCTCCCAATCATATTTCTTCAGCAAAGCTGTACTCCATAGCTTTATTTGTGCTTGCAAATTACTTCCAGCAATTCAAAGAAGATGGGATAAAGATAACATCTTTCCAATAATTTTGCCTGTCATAAGCTGTTCCCCACTTGCCTTCTTTCATGAGATCACTACTTGGTTGGTTCTTTCAACTTTTGAACTTTCATTGAATCAGGACCATAACAGTCCAATGTTGCCTTCTCTTTCCATTAACTTCACAAATAGCTATTCCTATATAGCTTTTTCACATGGCATTTTAATGGTGGTGGAATGTGTCCAATATATCAGTTCATAAAATTAGCATTAGAAAAATTAGATATATATGAAAGAAAAAAAATAATTTGGAAATAATAAATTTAATATTTAAAATAATACGAAAAACTATTGAAAAATAAAAATTTATGTCATGATAATAATGAAAATAGTTAATCAATCAATTTCTTGGAGATTGCTTCTCATATAGATAGTTGAAAAAAAGGTGTGAGGACATTTCTTATAAGTTTATAGTCATCTATTACTATATTCCAGATTAAGCTAAATTTGTGATGAAATATTTGTGTTGAATAACATAGAAAGTGTTGCCGTATGTTCTATTTTCTTGAAGTTAGTGGTAAAATTAGAATTTCAACTGAGAGGAGGGTAGAATTGGCTTTCCTAATTCAATAATATGTATAGTTACAAGAAAATTTATATTTTATCTGGGATAGTTTTCTTACTACTTTCTAAAACAACTTTTTAGTAATCTTAAAACTAAAATTTTTGTATTAAAAAATTATTTTAAAAGCGGTGAAAAAACTATCTTAAATGAAGACTAAGGCCTCGTTTGGAACGGCTTTCTTACTACTTCTCAAAACCACTTTTAGTATAAAAATTAAAAATTTTATATTAAACAGTTATTTTAAAAAGCAGCAAGAAAGTCACCCCAGGCTTGATTTGAGATGACTTTCTTATTGCTTCTTAAATCAGCTTTATAGTATAAATTTTTACTTTTTATACTAAAACATTATTTTAAAAACAATTAAAAAATTATATTTAAAATTTTAAAAATATAACTATCATATTATACGTAGCTATATATGGCTTTTTTCAAATTTGAAGAAGATGGGAGCCACTCCCAGCTCATATCTGTACTACAGATATGGAAAGTCATATGATTGTTACAATCTTTTATTTATTTATTTATTTTTATGATTGTTACAATCTGGTGTCTATTGTCTTGCATAGTTTTGAATGATTTATTGAGTGGCATTTTCATATAAATATTTTGTTTTTTTTTTTACTCTTTTTTAATAATTTAATGAATATGAAAAGAATCTATAATATATTATATATGATTTGCATGTAAAAAATGAAATGAATGTTATAGAGCTAAGTCTAGAAGCTCATTGCATCCTTACAAACTAATAATTTATTTAATTCATTTTAAGCATAATTAAACCTTAATTTGCAAAAATTAAGAGAAATAGAAATATAATGCGTAATTGGTTTGTAATTTTTGTTCAAATATAATTGTTGAAGTCCATTAAACATAATAGATAAAATCGCATAATTGCTTGCTAGTGGACCAGAAAATGAGTGATGATCCCAAAGATTGATATACGTTTAAGGCGTTTGATCAATTTTATATTTGACATAAGTTTCGTTTGGAACAACTTTCTTACTGCTTTTTAAAACAGCTTTTTAGTATAAATATTTCTAATTCAAAAAAATTTTAAATCTAATTTTTTCTTAGCCACATTATAGAACAAATTAGAGCCATCTAAATGACCCAAAATAATATTAACAATCTAAATTATCATTCAAATTTCATTTCACAAAAATCATATAAAATAATCTAGTTCATACAAAATCTATAAATAAATCAATTTTGACTTTAAACATGAATATGATGATGCATAAACTACTAGAGTTAACAAAAAATCAGGTAGCATTGTATGTTTAAAGAACTACACGCTTAACATTTTTCTTTCCGGTTATAGTTCCGTGGTAACCTTCATAATGACATTTAAGAATTTTTAGAGAACTATTATAAATACTATAGATGCCTCACTTATTTGATATGCACATAAATCAACACAGAGAAAACTAATCTGTGAAAATTCAACTTTTACAGTCAAAGTATTCAAAATAAAGCATTCTACAATATACAAATAAGTTACACGGTGAAAACATCATAAAATTTGAATTTTTTCTTTTGCCTATATCTTGTTATATACTCTTTAGATTTAAATTAGAGACAGATGCTTAGAAATCTACCACGTGCCTCACAAAACCCTTAGCTTGCCAAGTGCCCACGACCTTCATAAATATTTTATACGAATCAATTATAATTCTTAATTTTTTTTTATTGAATGATTGATTATGCAATGATGTATTGCTTATTAGTATCATTGTGTTATGATTGCTATGATTGCTCTAACTTGGATCAACTATGCTCGGCTATTATTCGACCTATGTTATGGCTAAATTTTTTCTATTGTATGTTGTGATTGATCTCTGAGTATGTTGTGTTATATCGAATATCAAATAAACTTAATTCAAATGTGCAATTAATTTATTTTATAAATTTCTCTAATTGATAAATATTTTCAATTAGAATCTTTTTAAATTGTGATATATGATAATTAAAATTTGAAATAAAGTATATATTAATCAATCTCTAATCTAAATTTATATTAAAAATATTATTATTTTTAGATAAAATATAATTTTAAAAACTCAATACCAATTTTTGAAGACATTTATATCCTGAGTTCTTAATTTTGATTTATACTAATAAAAATAGAAAATGTTTAAGAAAATTCTAAAGCAAAAATAAATTTATTAAAGAAAATTCTAATGCAAAAATAAATTTATTAAATACTAAATAAAATATGAATATTCATGAATATAATTAAATTTTTAAAAATATATTATTAACATCATATAAAAATAATTAAAACAAAGGATAATTAATATGTCAATATATTCTAAAACAAAATTTGAATATATTTTAATTTTTTAATTTATTATTTATTATTTTTTGTGCTTTTATGAAATAAGTAGTATTTTATCTACATGAAAATTCAACATCAAATTAATACATGAAAAAAAAATCACAAGGTAGAAAGAAGCAATCCATCACCGTCCATTTCAGATCGGACGGCTTGGATCTCAACTCCGCCGCCCATTTCAGATCGGACGGCTTGAATCTCAACTCTACACTCATTACTTCCTTCCAACTGCAGGATTACTCGCGAAGAACTCCTGTACCTCCTGTGGATTGAAAAATTCCTCCTTGCTCCGCGCGGGCAGCCGGCGGGAAGATGGAGATTCCATCCGCCTCTTCCTCGGAGCCGGAGGCGGCACCATTGCCGCCAAAATCTTCGCTTCCGCCGCCTTTGGCGTCCGGCACTCCACCTCCTCCACCTCTTCGTTAGCCGCCATTGCCCTCACTTCCACCTCAAGCTCCATCAGTAGTCGCTATAATTGATCCAACGGGTTGCTGAATATCCCTTCAGATCTAGCTAGTATGCTATACTGTCCAACTTATGCCCTTTTTCAAATGAAATGGAAGAAAGAAACAGGTAAATGGCTCAATTCGAAGTATTCGATGGACGAGAGGAAGACCTGTGGAGGTGATAAGGATCGAAAGCTCGCACTGTATTTATTGTTCTGGAAATTCGGAGAGTGAAAAGTTGAGGAGGAGGAGCATTTAGATAGGGTAGAATATGGTGTCGGAGCCGCGCTTGGCATGAGAAGCGAATAATCCTGATCGCCGCTGGAGAATCTTCGCCATTTTTCTCTGACACTCGAAGATCCGCTAAGAAGCCAAGGACAGAGGTTTGTCCTCTGGACCGTTATGGGAGTGGGAAGCCGGCGTGAAAGAGCTGAAGACCGAACTCAAACTCATGTGAACGACAAGGTTATTTATTTCTTCTTTCAGCTTAATAAAGTTAACTTATTTCTGAAAACGCATCGGCTGTGGTGGAAGCTAAATTCTACCGTTGCACCTAGAACTGAAAATTGGGTTTAATTGCCTTTTATCCCATGCTCTGGTATATCAAATTGAGTTCATTTTTCCAGAAAAAAAAAAAAGATTTGATCTAGAGTAGGAACTTTAGCAATTAATTTCACAATGTTTGTATAAAAAGACCTCTGTAGTCTTTCTGGTACTTGCAATTCTAAGTAACTTATAGTTCCTTAGCAATCCTTTGAGCCAAGCCGTTTCCCATTCTATGTCTTAATTTATCACAAGTGGTTTAAATATGCATCATGCTTTCCATTTAAAGCTGCACGAAATTAAAAAAATGGATATCTTTAATATTTATCTTTTGAAGGTCAGTTTCAATTCAAATGTAGCTTTAGTTCAAATTGTAGGCCTTGGGTTACTTTTTACTGCTTATTTATGACTATCTATTACTTGAAAATTCATTTGAAAAAAAAGCGACATTGAAAATTTTATAGCATTTTTAGTTTAAGCCTTATCATGCAAACAAATTAGTGACAAGATCAAAGTGCAGAGCCTTGCATCAAGAATGATGATCATCATGATAGCTTGATGGATTTAATCAATGCTTGTCCTCCTCCCTTTAATTGCGACATGCACAAATATTCAAAAAGCTAATTTTCTTTCCAAAGTAGGCTTGACAAGCCCCTCCCATGAAAAGAACAAGATTGCAATTATAAATGTTACCAAATTTTCCTTGTTTGGCTTGTCCAACCTTAACATCTAGGCATTTTATTATTTTACTTCCTTGCAACTCTATTTAAGCATGGCTCTAAATTTTTGAATCAATTATTGAATGAAACAATGAAGATTGTTGCTTGTATGCAATTGAAGTTGGCTGCTTTCCTTTGAGAAGTTCTTTGATAAGAGCTTTATTGCCTATGTTGTGGTATTTCTAAGCTCTTCCCTCTTCTTGTTCACAACCCATAACTGACCTAACCCTTTCCTAGCTCTCCTCCAAGCTCACAACTGCTCCCCTCCAAGCTGGCAACCACAAATGTTAACTCAACCAATCCTACTTACCACTCTCCTTCCTATTTAATTAAATCTAAATCACTAGTCTCAAGCAATCCTAATTCCACCCAAACTTGAACCTTCTCCTATCATCAACCGAACCTGCATAACTCATATATTATAATTTATAAATGATTATATTAGATTGAGTACAAGATAAAAATTTTGCCCTAAGATCTATTTGGAAGGAATTTCTTTATTATCCAAATTTATAATGCAGTGTTGCTAAATCATTAATATACAATAATAAAGCATAAATCATCATTCAACACACACTCACACACACACATATATATATATAGTCATTATTTTCCTATACATTCTATAAAATATTTTTATCTCATGATTATAAATAATCCATTTATAACAATAAAAGTACCTCTAATAGCAAAACTACAACCCCACTTGACTAGGGCCTTAGACCTCCCTAAAACATATAAATATAAATATAATAAAAGAGCAAATTGCTAAATAGGTTACTAGAACCTATAATTTCATTCAATGTACAAAAATAAAAATGATTTGTATACTAAGCACTAATTTATTAGTAAAAGTAAATGTGTGCTAAGCAAGTAAATTTCTATGCTACTTATGTATAATTTTCATATATTGTGCTATGACCAAGGTTATCATTTCAAAATCATATGTTATATAGAGCATCATATAAACTAAATTTTATTCTAAACAATTCATTTATTATGTATATTAGTATATTATCATACATATCTATTAAACAAATTAGGTATTTTGACTAATCATATTATATCATGTGGTGTTTTCTCTGTATCAATCTTAGTAAGTCGGCTACAATATTATATCATGTCATATAAATAAGAACAATCATGTGATCTAATACACGAAGTCTTCACCCCAGCCTATCAGTACTCAAAATCATAAATCCCCTCCTTAGATCTCCCATCTTGTATCAGATTCACACCACTAACCCACATATAAAGAAAAGCCCACTAGCCTACCCAGCTGCATAAGATATCATATCTCTGCTATCATGAATCATGATAGTTAACCTTTTTTGCATACACAAATTCACAACATGTATAACATGATTAATTTTTAAAATCATACTCAATGTGCTCATTTTAACATATCTAACCACAACAGATGAACTATAACAACTATGCATGTCATTCTTTTTTATATTAAAATGATGGAACATATATTCATAAAAAATTTGAACTTATTTACATTGCTTAAATTAGGACATATGCCTTAGAATGCAAAAATATTCGATAAAAATTTAATATGCTCATGTCAATATATGCAAAATAATTAGAACCATATCATTTTAGAAGTTATATGATGAAAGTTTATTAAATATTGGGATATTATAATTTTTGTAAATTTGTATCAACTTAAAATTTAGAAAATATAAAATAAGCAAAATTATTAAAATCCGATTTTGCATAACAATAGTCTATCTAGAGCTTAACAATTTTTTCATTTGGACTGTTTAGTGAAATCCCTATCTTCTCCTCCACAACTTTCTCTCTTCCCTCTCACTATCTCTTTCTTTTTCTTTTTTCCTTTGCTTCTCCATCATGACTTAAGAGGCTTAAAATTAGGTGATAAAGAACATTCTGGGAATATTTTAGAGTTATATAAAAAATGAAGTCAACGGTACATATGTAATTATGCAAATTGCTTAGTTTTTAGCATATAGTCTATATAAATTCTTATATAACTTTAAATTTGGAGCTTCTAGAATAATGTAAAAATAATACATCATGTTTAGAATGTTATGCTAAAAATGGTTCAACATGTGTCTATTTTTTAAGGAGTTTTAATTAAATAAGCAACCTCTTATTTTTCACATCTACAATATTCATAAATAGGCAAAAATAGTCATAAAACAGAGTGTAAGTGTAACATTCTCTACAATGTGGTAAAGATAATTTTCAAATCGGACTTATAACAAATCCAGATAAATTATTTGAATGTTGTTGGTTAAAATACATCTTATATAAATTTAAGTGATTGTATCTTTATTTCCTTTAAAACATTTATAAAACTTTTTAAAAAATAAAATAACTTGAAAATGTATTTTAAGATGCATTTTAGAGTATATTATCAATTAAATTTATATTTATATAAATATATTCAAAGAGAGCAAACATATAAAATCTTTGCGATTGTTTCTTGATTAGAACTCAACATGTTGGTATTATGCCTCCTTCGTCCTTACCCACAAAATAGTTATTTTCCATCCTTCAAACACTAAACCCTTGTTCTAGCCAATCCTAAATACCCGTAGTACTACAAATCACTAATCACCATTAATCCTCCAAACGTCCTTCCCACCTTCATTCCCATGAAGAAAAGGGGGAGAATTTTTTTGGAGTACTAATTAGAATCTCTCTTTGATTCTATAAGTTGTTTTTTTTTTCATTTTTGCTTTACTTGGTTCTCCTCCTTTGGTTTGGTAAATTGAATTTCTCTCTTGTCATGTAGGCCTCCATATTTCATTATTTTCACTTCATGCCTTAGCCTTTATGTGCTGAGGTTTGTGCTGGATGATATAGCCTGCTTTACTGATTTGAATTTTTTAAGACTCCTAGTTCAATAATCTTTTCTTGAATTTCACCATTGAGAGGCTTCTAGTTCAGGGCTCCCCAGCTATGCTCATATTTGGTCTTTCAAATATTACGACTCATACCTTGGGTGTTTTGTCTTGGTTGATTTGGCTCTATAATGATGTCTCCTCTTTTAGTTTTTCTGGGCTAGTGAGGCATTTCTTTTTCTTTTGTAGTGGTCTTCTTTACTTATTGCAACTTCTCATTTTTTTTGGAATGCAGATTTTTTTTCTCTTAGATCAATTTCAATAGCTTTATGAAAACTTTTTAGCCTTTTTGATCTAGACTCTAGCATAAGAGACGATCGAAAGTTTACGTAAGGAATTTACTATCTTTTTTCATTAAAGTTGTTCAAAATTTGAAAAAATATTAAGTAAATTCTCTGCTTATGCATGTGTACTTTCAATCATAAACAGGGGTGGATCCGGCCCCTAATTTTCGTGCAGGGGGGGGGGGGGGTTGCCCCGAATTTGGCTTGAGGCCACGATCGATTCATTGTATTTCTGATTATGTCATGTATTATTTTCATTTTCATGTCGTGTATTTTGTTTATTTTATTTTATGTCCTTTATTTCCCGTTGTACCCTTCTAGTGAAGGGGTATCGTATGTAAGCCCCGAGGGTATTTTAGTCTTTTATTTCTTGAGTCTCTTGTACTAGGCTATTTATAACCCATTATTCTATTCTCCTGGGTAATGAATGATTATTATGAAATTTTCCTACACTTGTGTTTGAGAGCGTTTGAGAGTTCTTGGAGAGAACGTTGGGAGATCCCTAGGAGAGGGAGATTGGCGCAACACCCACCAATCTAGATAAGTTGGATTTGTGGATCCGTTCTTGTATCTCTTTCTTTCTTCCTTTCCCCTCCACCCTCATCTAGCCGCTGGTGTCCCCACCTCACCAAACCCATCTCCACCCCTCTCAATCCCACAGCCACACCCCATACCCGAACCCCAATTTCCTAGCGCCCCCCCCATCACACCCCACCCGTGGCCCCCCCCCAATCAAGCCTTGTTTCCTAAATTAGATTGACTCAAATTTGGGTAGATTTGAAATTCAAAATATTTCCTAATTTATCAAATCTATTTTAGGAAAGTTCTTAAATTAAATCCATTTGAATTTCAAATTCAAATTGGATTTATTCAATTACTTTCCTAATCCCTCTAGCTTCTTTAATTAATCCCAAATCTACTCTGTCCCCATTAATGCCGCCGGCCCTCCCCCTTGGCTTCGGTTAGGAAATGTTTCCTAAACCCCAACCTTGCTTTAGGCAATAAATCCAAACTCCCTAAATTCTCTCTTGGCCGAAATTCCC